ATCCGGTTGTTGGAGCTTCAATTGATGCAATTTGATGATTACCCATGGCCTTTCCATTGTCAATTAAGTTTTGGTGAGCATTGAAGAAGAAAACTACAGATGGAATTAGCGGTATGTCAAAATACTTTAAATACATCTGAATCTCATCCGAATATATGTCGACTAACGCCACTGTCGCGAATTTCAATACATCTTTTGCTGATTTATATAGGATGTCGTCGAGCTGCAAGCAAACGACATCGAAGGAGCGGTCGAACCGGACGACGAGTACTTTGTCAATGGTGTCTCTGATTATGGAGTCCACTTCTTGCTTCTTCCTCAATGTCGGGAGTCAATATTCCATCTCTCTATGGCTATTTTGGGCTACGCAATTGATTACTGGTTTAACTATTTTTCCAGAAGGAAATTCCCAAAGAGAAGACGGGACGTAGTTTTTACTTGTTTAAAATGTTTAATTAGTTTAAAAGGTATTGATCAAAATACTTATTTTTATAGGGTATATAGCCTAATTTCCTCTTAAATTAATATTGCTCTTGGCCCAATACTCAAGGATGACCCAAGTTGTGGTTTTGGATTGGCAATGATATTTTGTCCATTGGTTAGTATGTGGCTTTTAGATTATTACCCACTTGGCCTTTTGGATCATTGGCCCAAGTATTGCCTTGATCCATGTTTCGTTGGAATCTAGCCTAGCCCATACATAGCTATTCCCATTCATTTGGTGTGTACGTGTGATTCGAGGGAAAGAGGGAAAACATTTGTTGCTTTGTGCTTGGAACCGTGGCTTCCTTGTTGTTCTTCTTATTCCTTGTTGAGAAATTTGTAAATTGTAGGAGGGTATTTAAGTCTTTTCCATTTATTCCTTTTCCTATATGTATTGTACAGTTCATATTGTTGGAATCGATTTTGGCAATTAACCAATTCTCCCGCCAAGAGCTCTTCTTCCCAATTCTCACCCTCTTCATATTTTCATATGGTATCAGAGCATTGATTCGCTGCAATGGCATCGCAAGGATCAGCTGCTGGAGATTTGGTTGAAGAAGAAGCTAATTCTATTACCAGTCGCATGATTTCAGATCCAAGCAGCCCATTTTATCTTCATTATGGTGATAACACTGGTTTGCTGCTCGTTTCAGTGGTGCTTACGGAGAATAATTATGCGACGTGAAGTCGCGTTGTAGTGATGGCTCTTAGCGTGAAGAACAAAGAAGGATTCATTGATGGAACAATCGCTGAACCAGAATCTGATGATCAGTTGTATAGCGCCCAGAGGAAATGCAACCATGTAGTGTGTTCATGGATCACTAATTCCATTCCCAAGGAGCTTTATCCAAGTGTTATGCACAATGATTCAGCTAGAGAGATATGGATCGAATTGAAGGATCGCTATAGCCAAAGCAATAGCACTCGAATTTATGAATTGAAGAAGCAGATCTCCACAATTTCACACGAAAATAGCTCAGTCAATTCCTATTTCAATCGATTTAAAAGATTGTAGGAAGAGCTTGATAACTATAGGACAAATATCACTGGATCTGATTATAAACAGGAAGATCAGGTTATGCACTTTTTAATGGGGCTAGACAAACACTATTCTGCAGTGAGAAGTCAGATCTTGTAAATGGATCCTCTGCCTTCGCTTAACAAGGTTTTTGCACTGATTCTCCAAGATGAAAGACAAAATGAAGTCATTACTAAAAGGCAACACAGCCTTGAAGCTTCTACTTTTGCTAACAATGTTTTGCAAGGATCTAATGGTAATCAAAGGAATACTAGATTCATTCGATATCAGAGAAAGAACAGGCCTATATGCAGTCACTGTAGGATGCAAGGACACATTAGAGGAAAGTGGTACAAACTGGTTGGATATCCCCCTAGGCATCGTTTTGCTAAAGGCAAGACTGTGGTTGCCAATGCTGTTGGTCAATCATCTGTAGGAAATTAGTACGGTGTTATTGAGTCCCTATCTAATATTACTATCACTCCAGAACAATGCAAGCAAGTTCTGGCAATGTTAGTACGTCAGTTAAAAGGACAGATATTTAATGATTCCGGAATAAATACATTGTTACAGACTCTGCTGAGTTTTGGCTGTGAAAACAGGGGAGGCAATAACATTGGGATTTCAACACTATGTTTTGGCACTAGGGACAGCTGTGATTATTCCTTCCTTTCTTGTTCCTTTGATGGGAACTGATGTGAGCTAATTATATTTTCTTGTACTTATGTAATTTGATTCTAAAATATTGTTGATTAAGAAAAAAAAGACTTGTTTAGTTATTCTGAATTCTTATTTAAAGTCTTGTACATTCTTAAAATCTGCATCTTTGATCTATAGATTCACTCAAGTAGTGTAACTTTCAATGTTAAGAACCTAATGGTGTTGATTAATTATTGCATTCTTTTTTTTTTTGGGTTTGTATTATGGTTGTAATTAGGGTGATAAAGTGAGGGTAGTGCAGAGTCTGCTGTTTGTTGAAGGAATAAACACATTGTTACAAACGCTATTCGGAACAAGATTGCCAACAGTTATTGAAGTTTCATGGGCATTCATGTTGCCTATAATTTCAATAATTCACGATTCATCCTTGGAAAGAATCCCTGACCCTCATGTCACAAGTCCTACATTATCATGTACATTCTTATTTCAATCTTTCTGAGGTAGAAAAAGTTGATGTCATACAATCTTAGAATGATTCTCTTGCCATTTTAATGAACTCTTGACATTCATTGACTTGTAAGTTGGAATGGTACATTTTCCATTTGTGCATTCTACAACATTAAATTGACAAGAGCTTAGAAGGGTACTTGTTAAGGTGGAACTTTAAGAAGGGTTAGAATTATTCTTGGTTTATGTTGAGAATATAGCAACATATCCCACAAGAGCTTAGAATATATAAATATAAAATTATGATTAACAGTCATGTTTTTTCACTTGTTTATCTAATGCTAGAAACACTAATGATGTATTGTTTCCAACTTATGCAATACATGATTCCTTTTTTCTGTAGAACCTGTGTTTACAGTTTATGCTTTTGTAGTAGAGTTAATTGAATTTCTGATCTGATTAATTACATTGTTCCAAGGCAGATTCTATGAGAACACTAGAAGTTAGCAATAGGCTTATGATCTAACTTTAGAAGCTTTATTTCAATAGAGCTACAAGCCATGTGATTTGTTTAAGATGTTGGCTTTGTTAAGGTTCCCTTTTAAATTATGTTGTCAGGAACCCGAGTTGAAGAAACAAATTGAATTTGAATCACACGCAAAAGAGATGGAATTAAAGAAACCCAAAGAAAGAGCAGCTGATCCAGTGCTTAGGAAGGTAAAAGACAGACCAAACAAGCTCGAAGAAACTGTGAAAGATTTTTTTTTTTTGAAAATGTATTGAATTTTTAGACGTTTCAGAATTTTGGATTTGAATTTTGTATGAATATTGTTATATTTTGGAGTACAAATAATAATGATTATTGAAGTTGTTTGATATTGTCATCTTTTATCTTATTTTGTGGTTGATTTGTGCAAATTACTGTACAAATAAGAAAAATGTAAAATTAAAAAAAAAAAATTCTAAAATGACATATGGCGACTGTCAAAAAATGTTGCAAAAAATAAAGATATAAGCATGAATAACAGGCAAAAAAATTGCAAAATGTTATTAGCAACGTTCAAAAAATGTTGCGAAAAAGTTATTAGCAACATTAAAAAAACGTTGTAAAAAGATTATTAGCAACACTCAAAAAACGTTACAAAAAGCGTTGCAAAAAGGTTATGGTAATACTAAAAAAAGTTGCAAAAATGTTATTTGCAACACTCAAAAAATGTTGCAAAAAGGTTATTTGCAACATTCAAAAAACGTTGCAAAAAGTTTATGGCAACACTCAAAAAGCGTTGCCGTATCCTTTTACTCTATGACAACATTGAGATTTGCAACATACTAAAAAACGTTGCAAAAGGTTTTCGATAACTGTTTTGAACGTTGCAAAAGACTGTTTTTGTTGTACTGTTGTACCCGGGTTAAAAATCTAATCTGTACTGTTGTTAGTTTGACTGAAAATTCATGGCAAGATCCTTTCAAGACTAAAATTATGATGATAAGCTAATCATTTTTATCTTAGTCCAAAAAATTATGATGAAAATACTGCAACTCAATTACAGAGTTTTAGTATGGAAAGTCGCATAAATTTAAAAATTTGCTTTTGGTACAATATATCTATAGAAACACAAACTCAAACATAAGTATATACATTGTTAATTGCTTTTAAGATTCGTAATTGTAACGCTATGCATATAACCTCAATCAGATTGGACAATACGAGCCTGCGGCACTAAAAGATAGCATTTCAAGAGTGGGACCCTACAGAAGGTGCTTTCTATCTGTTTTTAATGGCGATGGCTAAATTCTACAGAAGGTGAAGAATGTGATCCTCCTCTCAAGAATAAAATGGATAATAACAATTCTCAGTTGGGTAACATCAGACAACCTTCACTACCCCCTGTTCTCCCACGAGTGAGTCCAGAGCTTCTTCCTATGTCTCCATCAATAGTAGCTGATCCAGGCCTGGACCTTCAAAACTTTCTCAAGATGGGTTGCCCACTTCCAGCTTCTTTCTTGATCTTCACATTGTGAATCAGTTATACTGGTCCCTAACTTTAAAATATTAGACATTCAAAAAGTTTATAGTTTACACGGGAATTTCTTTTCAGTGTAAGTTCTGTGGGTGAATATGATGCTCCATTTGTTTGAGGAGGACTTGCTTGCTAAACATACCTTTCAAAGACCTTTTCAACAAATTGTTCGTCGTGATGAATTTGTAGACAGTTACAGATATCAATTTACTCTTTGAAGTAAGGAAGGTTGCAAAATATAGACAATTTTATTTGCTCTGTTGTAAATGAAAAATCAATTTATATGCTTCATTTGAGTTAGTGAATTGTGGATGAATGATGATTATACATACCAAAATGGAGAGAGAATTTCAAACCAACTATATTCTCATACACGCAACTTTATTATTGATATTGAAGTTGAATAAATTTAGTGGAAAAATGAGTTTTTTATTTTTTAAATATTTGGCATCTTCTTTCGTCTCTTTTATTCATGTAAGAGAGCATGATCCAATATATAGCTTTCTAATATGAAATGTATCTAAAAAATTCAATTAATCATGATTCCATCTAATATAAAGTACATATGTACCATCAACTAGTCTTGCGCGCACGAATGCAACTCATTTTTATCTTATGGGTGATGAACTCCCAAAACTAGAAGATCTCAATCGTTCCTGCAGGTGAAATAGGTCAATAGTAGCCAGAACCCAAATTTCATTGTAAAATTTTTAATGTTTCTACGGACTTTGCGTTTATTTATTTATTTATTTTTACATGAAAATTACTCTACATTAGATGTGGAATTTCACACAATTGCTAATGATACTTTTCCAAGACCTTCGCGTCTAATAATTATCTGTCCCGAATTTTCACACGTTGTTCTAGATATTGTATATTGCATCGGTATACATAGTTATGAATGCACAATGTCCATGATTTGATGAAAATTATGAATCCCCATGTTTAGAATGCTTCGTGTCCAAATTATTTCATTTATAGTGATGATGAACATTTCAAAGGCGAAAAGGTTAATGTAAATTGTTTGAATGAAACCTGAATCTTATTTTTCGTTCTAATTTTATGCTGTTGTAATTCGTTCTAGTGATGATGAACATTTCATACTATGAGAGTTGACTCCTCAACAAGGTATATAATTGGGGGTCTAATATTAATGTTTGTCATCAAAATACAAGTGACAAATACAAAGTAGAATCATTGTGAAGAATTCAAAGTAAGTTTTATGCGCATCTCTTTTATATATATGGTAAAAGCATATGATTGTTCAAATATATCTTTGTTTCAATAAAAAACATGGCATCTAAGCAGTTATATTTTTTGCAATGTCTATGTGTAATTCAATGTATTCTGACTGAAAAGAACTATTTTGTTAATTAAAGAAATTAATTTACAAATTGTAATGATATTTCTCCCTTGATATTTTTGCACAGCTAGTGACTATTTTTTTTTTTTTTTATTGATTCACAAAGAACAATTTCTTATAACCTTACTGGACAGCAAATTTAATTGTTGAAGTTAATGTCATGTAATACCTGCAACTTTTTCCTAACTCCAATCACTTCCCTGTTATGTAGAAAATAGTTTTCTTTGTCTTCGTCGAAGATTAAAACTTTATTAAGAGAAATAGTTCTATTAAATTCCAACTAATTTTAGAAATCTTGCATAAAAGAATTATTTAGACGCTAAGCTTTTGTTGAAACAAAAATATATTTGACAAAACAAATGCTTTACTGTGTAAACGAAAGAGATACACTTAAAATTTACTTCGAATTCTTAGCGACAATTCGACTTTAATTTGTCTAATAATTTGATGACAGCCATTAATATTCTAGCAGTCAATTCTCGTTATTTGGAATGTACATCATTACCCATCAACCCTAACTCAAAAAATTTACATTAAACTTTTCCTTCTCGACATTCAAATGACATGAAATGGTATATAAATAATATGATTCAACACTAATTCAAGTAGCTTGCATTTATTTACTGTCCTTTTGGTATTCCAATGGCATGAATGAATAAACAAAATAGTATGATTCAACACTAATTCAAACAATTTATCTTAATTTTATTTTTCCATTTAAAAATAACGACAGCATTATATTATAAATGAAAGTATGATTCAGCTCTAACTCAAACAATTTAAACTATTTTTCCTTTTTGACATTACAACGGCTCAAAATAATAAATAAAATAATATCCCCTCTCTACATTATGAACTATGTGCATACATGGGTGATGATAATTATTACTAAACAGTGGCCGTTGTACATTCGGAACTATGTATACATGGCGGATCATAGGATTCAAAATGATAAGAATATGCAAGTCAATATGAACCCCAAATGTATGCGGAGTAGATTTTATAAATGATTGCAATTTTGAAATAAATTTTGGGTAAGAGTTTCGAT